TACGCGGAGGGGGGGGGGGGGGGGGGTACAGGGATTTTTTTTTTTAAATTTTCTCAAAATTATTCACAACATATATAAATCGACTCAATTTTTAACGCTGGTTCCGAATCTGATATTAGTTTTGCACCAAATTGTAGCTTTCTAACAAAACATCGCCTGAAAAAGATCTCAAATGCACAAAAACTGCATCCTGAAACCAAATTGCCTAGATGTATCTCAGAGGACCAGTAGTTTTGGGGTTTCCCAAATGCCTGATTTCGTAGCTAGTCAAAAGGACTATCGAAAGGTAAAAACCCTAACTCGATAGCTATTAATATTGGTGATTTATTAGGAAAATACTGATGCCTGTATCTATCATATATCTCTTATAGATTGATGAGGTTGCTTACGATCGTAATCCTGCTAGATACAAACGCAAATCCATTCAAAAATAACTCTTCTTACCCAGTTTTCCAAGCTAAACACGAATCTGAACTCAATTTTTATGATTTCTAAAGATATTATATCACTCTGAGAGTAGAGTCAGTCAGTGGTCACCGGATAGGGTCGCATACAGTGTGGTCCATGCTAACTTAGCACGCCTGTATTTTCTCCTTGCAATTTAGTGACAAGGGATGTATCTTGATGAGATCTATGTCTTATAGAAAAAAATAAATGCAAGGCCTAGTACACCACGTGAAAAAAGTCCAAAATACCGCCTCTCGGAGTATGCTATTTCGTTGAATTTACGCAGTTTTTGGCTTATATCACTTTTTTATCTCATAATTTACTCACTTCGGTGTAGTGAATTTATAGATTAAACTGCTTTCTGTCCAATTGAGACCTTTTTTAGCTCAAAGGGCCAAATCGTTCACGAGACAAGGTTAAAATGCCGAGCATACACTCAAGATAGTTAAATTTTATTATTAAACTGTCTAAAATATTCATCCTTGAGCGCACTAAGGAACTGCCCCTTAGGCCCTGCAGATGTCCTCTTTTTGTCCCGTAGGACGTGGCGAGGAGTTAGTTCCGGAAGTTTTATTCATTCGCATAAACTTCTTTGCTTTAGCTGAATCGTGTTTCTTTTTATAAACTCATGTTAATTATGTCAAAGTGCGGTACAAATTGTTGAGGATTATCTCGAAAAGGTGAAAGATCATCATAATGACTACCATTATAGTAAATACAAAGTCCTAGTTTATTCATATCGGATTTGTATTCTATATATTTTAGATGACCACCTGCTGTTCCTTTAATAAATCGATCGACTAGTTCCTGTAAACTAATATTCGATGAAATATAATGTCTATTTTTTGGATCGCCGTTAAACTGAATATATGAATAGATAGGATGAGATAGAGCCATAGAAAGCGCCTGAATTTGAACTTCTCCACTCCATATTGTATCCATAGCAGTTCTTTTCAACTGTTCCTCAAATGAATACTGCAATACTTTGCAAAGCGTTTGGAAATATTCGCTATTATTGATCATTGCATTAACTGCCAACAATCTCATCGAATGTGTTAGTTTTTCAGATCCAATATTTATTATCGAAAGGGAACTATATAAACAATTGCCATCTGCAGTCGTGCAAGTTCTAGCATAAACAGAATCGAACGCTTGAACAGAATATTCTGTTTTCGATTTTAACCGAACGGATTGGTCTTTATTATTCATAGTTATAAATGGTGATTTTTCAATTAAATCATCGATTATTTGAGCTTGACTTGAAATTTGATTAGTCTCTGTAGTATTANGTAATTTCTATAATAATATAATTTTCTTTTTTTCTATCTTTTACTTATATGACTATACTAGGCTTCGAGTTCAACAATTGATGTTTGTATGTTAGCTAATTATTTTTCAAGGTCATCAAGTTTAAATAATATCTTCATAATCTACTTGGATTTTTTCTATATAATTTACAAAAGCTTTACATCTGATCAATAAGTTTATTTTTATCATTAACAATAAGTGACTCGACAGCAGATGCTAGATCAGAAAAAGAATATTATAATATGTTATTTTTAAAAATTCGCAAACCATTATCTGAATTCGACATTGATTTTTCAATTGATTTGCAGTTTTAGTTCGATTTTCATCAAGATGCGTTCTTGCCTAATAATAAATAACGTTTTTTTCCTAAAGCATTCAACAAAAAAAAAGAAAAATCATACACAAACATGTAATAATTCGTTCGAATAGCCATTGTTAAGTTAGCACATGATTCACTTGTTTTATCATTAAAGAAAAACAACCAAATTAATGTATGTTAAATAAGAGAATTCGATATTTACATATTTCAATGATAATTACATTATGATGTATTTGTTTTGTTAATCATAGTATATTGTTCTTTACATTTGTCAATAATTTGAGAATATAAACTAAACTAATTTAAAAGAAATAATAGATTTATCTGAATTGGTTTTTGTGTACTCAAAAAGTGAGTACACTCTAGAATCATTCAGTGTGTCCGTCCGTCCGTTTACACGATAACTCTTCACAATTACATTCGATTGAGCTGAAATTTTGTGCACAGAATTGTGTCATCAATATCACGGTCGAATTCGAAAACGAGAAGAATCCGTCAAGAAATGGCTGAGTTATCGAAAAAATTGTCGTCATTGACCAGACCGTCCCTGAGGGGGGGGGGACGAGGTACAGGGATTTTTTCAAAATAAAATATTTTTGTCAGAATGATTCACAACATATATAAATCGACTCAGTTTTTAACTTTGATTCCGAATCTGATATTAGTTTTGAACCAAATCGTAGCTTTCTAATAAAACATCGCTTGAAAAAAGTCTCAAAATGCACAAAAACTGCATCCAGAAACCAAATTGCCTGGATATGTCTCAGATAACCAGTAGTTTTGGGGTTTCCCAAATGGCTGGTTTTGTAGCTAGTCAAAAGGACTATCGAAAGGTAAAAACCCGAACTCGATGGCTATTAATATTGATGATTTATAGATACAAACGCAAATCCATTCAAAAATAACTCTTCTTACCAAGTTTTCCAACCTAGCCATGAATCTGGACTCAATTTCTGTGATTTCTAAAGATATTATATCACTCTGAGAGTAGAGTCAGTCAGTGGTCACCGGATAGGGTCGCATACGGTGTGGTCCATGCTAACTTAGCACGCCTGTATTTTTTCCTTGCAATTTAGTAACAAGGGATGTATCTTGATGAGATCTATGTCTTATAGAAAAACATAAATACAAGACCTAGGGCACCACCTGAGAAAAGTCCAAAATACCGCCTCGCCTCTCGGAGTATGCTATTTCGTTGAATTTACGCAGTTTTTGGCTTATATCACTTTTTTATCTCATAACTTACTCACTTGGGTGTAGTGAATTTATAGATTAAACTGTTTTCTTTCCAATTGAGACCTTCTTTAGCTCAAAGGGCCAAACCATTCACGAGACGAGGCTAAAATGCGGAGCATACACTCAAGATAGTTAATTATTATTATTAAACTGTCTAAAATATTCATCCTTGAGCGCACTAAGGAACTGTCCCTTAGGCCCTGCGGATGTGCTCTTTTTGTCCCGTAGGACGTGGCGAGGAGTTAGTTCCGGAAGTTTTATTCATTCGCATAAACTTTTTTTCTTTAGCTGAATCGTGTTTCTTTTTATAAACTCATGTTAATTATGTAAAAGTGTAGTACAAATTCTTGAGGATTATCTCCAATAGGTAAAAGAGCATCATAATGACTACCATTATAGTAAATACAAAGTCCTAGTTTATTCATATCGGATTTGTATCCTATATATTTTAGATGACCACCTGCTGTTCCTTTAATAAATCGATCGACTAGTTCCTGTAAACTAATATTCGATGAAATATAATGTCTATTTTTTTGGATCGCCCTTAAACTGAATATATGAATAGATAGGATGAGATAGAGCCATAGAAAGCGCCTGAATTTGAACTTCTCCACCCCATATTGTATCCATAGCAGTTCTTTTCAACTGTTCCTCAAATGAATACTGCAATACTTTACAAAGTGCTTGGAAATAATCGCTATTATTGATCATTACATTAACTGCCAACAATCTCATCGAATGTGTTAGTTTTTCAGATCCAATATTTATTATCGAAAGGGAACTATATAAACAATTGCCATCTGTAGTCGTGCAAGTTCTAGCATGAACAGAATCGAACGCTTGAACAAAATATTCTGTTTTCGATTTTAACCGAACGGATTGGTCTTTATTATTTATAGTTATAAATGGTGATTTTTCAATTAAATCATCGATTATTTGAGCTTGACTTGAAATTTGATTAGTCTCTGTAGTATTATTAAAATCAAGTACAAGAAGAAACTGATCAAGAATCTTCCTTGAGTTTGAATCAATGATTTCATAGTTTTCGGAAGAAGATTTTTCTTCAATTTCCATCATATCAGATGGCTCATTAACTTTGAGATCTTCCAAATGGAAAGACATATCTAAGTCAATTTGTTCGTTTTTATCGACTGTTTCATGACGCGTGCAAAAACGAATTTCTCATCGACTTCCATCGTGTCAGATTGATCATCAGTTATAATATCTTCGATATTAAAAGGTACATTTGTATGAATATCTTCGGTTTCATCAAAATGAAACTTAGTCAAAACTTTATGTTTTCTTATCCATATTGGTTTATGAAAACTTGTAAGACTTTCAAAATAATCAGATTTTAAGTCTTTCACATTAGTGAAGCAATAGTCAATCTGCGTTTTTGCATTAGTTGAATCTCTATTTAGTATATTATTNGCATCGACGTGTTGAAACATTGTAAAACCAACCATTGATATTTCGTCTATGATTAGTAATTGTAGATCTTTCAATTTCACTCCAATTCTATTTGAAATATCACTGTCTAGTTTAACGAGTTTATGTTTGCATTGATTAACTGGTAAACTTAAAAATGAATGCAATGTCATTCCACCAATTAATGCTGCTGCTTTGCCAGTTGGCGCACAGATTGCAGTACGAATAGTTTCTGGATTAGATCCCGGAAGAGAATTATAAAATCTCAGTATCGATTGATATACTGCTTTGATCAAAGTACTTTTGCCAACACCTGCACCGCCATTAATGAAATGAAAAAATTGCTTATCTCCATTTTTTATCAAATTCATCACATTTAAAGTATATCTTCTTTGATTGTTATTGAGACTTCTCATCATTTCCTGATATTCAGTATCTGGTATTATTTTAGGAACATTAAAATGTTCAACTTTTTCAGTTCGAGTATTGAGTCCCATTTCAACAAAGATATCGCCTTCATTGTTTCCTATTTCATAAATGAGAAATTCATTTTTATCTTGATCATATTCAACATTTGTATCATCAATATCATCGTCATTTCCTCTTTCTGTTTGCTCTTCAAAAGCTTTTTCGAATTCATTGGCTTCACGGTGAACATATTCAGATCTGTTTTGTCGAATTAAATCTTTATGTAATTCAAATGTCTCTTCATGATTTATATGAATAAGATCCTCTTCCTCCTTACTCCATGGTAGAAATAACATTAGTTGCTCTCTATAATAATTTTCAGGATCTTGATGCAGCTTAAAGTTTCTGTATCTTATTATTTTTTTCTTTGTTCTTTTTTTAATCCATCCTTTTCCATTTTTCATCTTTAAAGCAACACTTTTTTCATCAATTTCATTGTCAATGACATCTTCGTCATCAGAATTTTCTATAATTTCAATATAGCCTGTTTTTTTCTTTGATATATTATATAACGATACAAAATCAGCTAAACAGACATTTTTCATTTCATCAGGTCGGTTGATATACATATCAATCAAGCCTTCAACAAAAACATCTTTTGAATCAGGCTCCAATTTTTCAAGAATTTCATCTGATTTGAGCATAGAAATTCTATTTTCAGGCCTGTTGATATTGATGAATGCAGTGCTTCTACTGCTGATTGAAAGCGGAATACTTAATATATGATAAACAGCTTCTTGTGCTGAAATTTCACTCGAATTCAAAAACTTATTTGCAATGACTCTAAGACGTTCTTTGACTGTNATCTGTTGATATGTGAATATATCGATATACGTTTCGAATAAGGTACAATAACAATGATTCTATCAAAATATACATACGATATAGCTAGTTTTTGAGAGTATAAAATGACAGACTTAGAATCACTCTAAGACATTTCATTAAAGCTTTTAAGCTTGTAATGGTCTATAAAAAGAATCAGTCTTCGATATGGAAAACTTCAGATCATGGCTGCTTACATCTGTCAAAAAGTTTTACCAGCAACAACGAACGAAAAGCAAGGTTGTACTAGATCTAATGGATCTTCAAAGTCATTTTTACTCATCATTCCACCTACCTTAGAAACCTAAATTCACTCCTATTCGTGGCCGCATCCTGTAGATCAAGTGTTATGACTTCTTTGATGAATTTTGTGCGTATTCGTATCGGGAATGTTGGTTTGTGAATTGCACATCAATAATTTTGTTGAAACAGAAGTCTGGTAGTTCATATATAGGTAGTCACAAAAGTATTCGGATACCTATGTATCTTGATTTCCGAGGTAGAAACACAAGATATTACTTTTCTTCTTTCGTCAGTAGATAGTCCTCACTTCATAGTAGATTCTCTATAAAAATAAGTAATTTAGATTATCATCTCGAATTACAGGAAACTTTTCTCACAAAAATGCCTGATTTTTTAGTACCACCAAAGCAAGACTCTTCTATTTTTCATACGAAGGTGTTCGTTTTTTCAACATCGAAATTATACCATATGCACAACACTAGAACGAGAAAAGCTAGCCCTATCCGTTGACATGATTTTGAAAGTAACAGTAACTTTTATAGAAGAGTCTTGCTCTGGACATACTGAAAAATTAGGCATTTTTGTGAGAAAAGCTTCCTGTAATTCGAGATGATAATCAAAATTACTTATTTTTATAGATAATCTAGTATGCAGTGAGGACTATCTATTGGCTAAAAAAGAAAAATAATATCTCTTGTTTCTGTTTCACAAACTAAGAGATACGAAAAAATACGTAGGTGTCAGGTTACTTTTTTGACTACCTGTAGCTTTCTGAAAGTATTAACTGAACTTTAATGTTCTTTTGCTCTGATATTGAATCTTCAAAATGTAATTATTTACCAACAACCTAGCACGTAAACGGAATTTACATGAATACGCAATATTTTGAGAAAATAATAATGTTACTAGCTCACAGTTTTCTAGTGTTATCTAGTCCATAAAACATACCTTAAATTAACGTTTCAAACCTCAGTTTTGGTGGTTCAACATTTTTATAAATAATTACGAATACGTCAGAATCCCAGTAAAACAATCATGACTCTCGGTATATAGATTACGGTCACGAATCTTATCAGAGTTTTCTTGGCCTCAATTAGCTTTCCCTGACTAAAATATAAGACTGAACAGCGTCCGTACTTGGATTTTGATCCTTTGCTGCCGATTATTTTTGCACCATTCAGTTTCTGTAGAATACACGAATTTTTCACGAAGTTTCTTTGAATATTCACATTTTTGTGAAAATGACATGCATTTGGAGTGAATAGACTAGTCAAAATCAGAAAAACAATAATGTCTAATTATTTTTATACTCGTCGTTTGTCTTGACGACGATATTTTGAGCTTCAAAAATATTATGTACATAATAATAGATTAGATTACGTTGCAATCTCGATCTCAAGTATTAAGTAATTATTTATAAAAATGTTGAACCACCAAAACTGAGGTTTGAAACGTTAATTTAAGGTATGTTTTATGGACTAGATAACACTAGAAANCCAACTTTCTCAAGAGAAATGCAGAACTTAGTAATATTTTCATCGTCTCTTCTTGTTCATATAATCAAACTATGATATAATTGCATAGATATGAAGTCTAGATTATGGTATTTATTTAGCCAAAAGTTGAGGCCATTTCCTAATATATTGAGTGAATGAAAGCCTTGCGTAAGACTAGATCATGATTTGCTCACTATTCCTCGTCATCACAAGATTTATCGATGAAATTTTTAGGAAATATTGGGCTACAGTGGGGCTATATATGCTGAAATGTTCAGCTTGTTCTGCTAACATTTCACCGAATAACGAGCCTACTCTTTCAGTGATTCCACAATCACTAATTATTTAAACCTTGGTTTTTATATAAAAATATGTTCCCTATAATCTTCTATCGATTGCTGAAAATCGCACATCGCTATGACTTTTCGTTAGAAAGTTAGAAGCTTTTTCTCCACCTGCCTTCTATTAAAATTTCGATAGTAATTATGAGCGGTCAGTGGAGTCAGTGTGCCTGATTCACCAGTGACGCCGAGGATGTCAGTGCATCAGTGATCCGTGATGCACTGGTCATCGGTGCTCCAGTGGCGTCAGTGTCAGTGTGTTTGATATTTCAGTGCTCAGTGACACTAAGTCTATCGGTGTGCACTGAGTGTCGCTGGCGGTGACAAAAGTGTCAGTTTTTTCGGTTTTGTCACTGACACCGCACATCCCTAGTTTTAGCCATGATATCTCTGTAAATTATTCTGGCACATCTTTAGTATTATTTGAATTGTTCGATAATATTTCAATCGAAAATATAAAAAACAAAAACATATATTCTGAATCTATTTAGCTGATTTCAGTACACAAAATAAGTGATGTTATTCAAATTCATAAAAGTTCAAAAATTATTTTAAATAAAAACTAGCAAAAAATAAGTCCACTGTTCTATATGGAGAACTAAGAATTCGATGTGAATGTAAGTGCCAATAAAATACAATAAATATCTCATCTACTACGTAGAAATTAGTAGTGATGAAAATATTGACTGACTTTATAAAAAATACATTATCTGGCAGAAGAATATACAATTTAAACAATAATTTTTTTTAAATTACAGCTTATCGAATTTAGTCAAGCCTTGATTTGGCCGAGTTTAAGCCTACCCAAGCCTAATGTTTCCGTCGCCTATGGCTGCAATAAAAAAAAAGAGATTTTCTGAAATATCTTATTTGTTAATAAAGCCTGGTTATTAATTATCAATCATCAATAATAATTCGTAGATCTGATTCGAAGATAAACATTTATTTAATGGTGATAGCATCAACTTAAATAATGGTCTTTATTTTTCGTAAACAATAATCTTAACTTTAATTGTACAATATAGAAACATCAGTGATAGGATAATTTTTATTCAATATTGCGAAAAATAAAATCTTAGAATATCATAGATGATCATTTTTTTTCTATAAAATTTTGTTTGTTTTAACATGTTTCTCATAACAAGCAACTTCAATCGTGTTTCATTGAAAGAAAGAAGAGAACGAAAATCATAATAATTTACAATAGAAAAGAAAATAACTATAGAATCGATATCAATTTTATTAACATAACCCAATGTTTACTACCCAAGTCAAACAATCCAGTGATCAGGATTCCGATTCCGATTTCATTGGATTTTGTCGGAGCTCGACGAAAACCGAGAGAATCCGTCTAAATTTGCTAGTACCCAGTCAAATCTCACTATCGGAATTCTGATCACTAAATTGTCGATTATTTCCGATAGAATTCGATCGATATTATAGTCATCCGACACGATGCGATCGCTCAGCTTCGTCCTGGGTAGATTACAATAATGGCAACTAACATTTTCCTTTAACAAAAAGCTATATTTCAATAACAAAAACAAGGTATTGCTATTTTCTTTATTAAGACAATGTATCAACTTGAGTCAATAATAATCGAGTGATTCTTATGTCTTTAATGGAAAGTGTCATGATGATCGAATGTTCACAATATCAACCATAAAAGCAGACAACAAAACAATAACAAATGTTTTAATAGTTCATAAAAATTTAAAAAAAAAGAGAAAACAAAAATAAATTCTTATTTTTGTTTTATTTTGATAATATCTTTCGTGTGATGATAAAGTCGATTTCATCATCTTTCAATAATGCATCAGCTGTATAATCAAGTAAAACAACAAACTCTTCATAAAAATCAAATAAAGAAATCTAAGAAAAGAGAAAGTAATAAATTCATACTCCTTGCTTAACAGTAGCTTCAAATCATGTTTGTTTCTCTACACGATAAACAATATGAACATCTTCCGATTCAATTAGTACTTCATCAATCATTGTTACTGAACTTTCATCTTGACCCTTTTTCTTGCTACGAAAAGCCAATTGATATACATACTGTTTGATGCTTGATATTTGACTTCATCAATTAAGTAACTTAGTTGTATTAAAAATATAAGATGATGAGTAATTGCCTAGCTCATCTTATAATAAAAGATAGATCGAAATGAAACATATGTACGATTTATAAATATATTAAAAACATAAAATCGACTTCAATTCTTTCAAGACGATACATTGTCGCATTTTTTTTTTTTTGAGTCTTTCAAGATGGCATCATTGAGATTGTTATTCATTTAATGGGACTCAATAAAAATACAATTGTATTATCTGCCATAAACTACATCGAGAACTTATTTATATGAAAATGCCGGATTGTGAGCATTTTGCGTGTAATTGAACATCAAAAAACGTGCGAGTGCAGTTAATAAAAATGAATTACATGGATGATTAAACAAATGTTCTATAAATATGTATATATAATCATCCGTACAATTAAACTTAAGTCAAATCTTATTTTCCATCCCTTTGAAAATAGAAGGTATGTACCGTAAATAATATCAAATTAATTTTATAGATCCGGAAGACTCGTACCCAATAATATATATATATTTCTTTCTTTATATGTTTCATAGTGAACCGTCGATTTATTTCTATTTGTTTTTCTTATAAATACAAACATTTTTCAATGAAAAATTGTAAATCGAATAAAATCGTTCGATCAATGTGTTCAAGTGCTCAAAA